CAACCTTTGTTAAAACACCTTCAAGTACTCGGACTTTTCGCCTTTCGGTTCACTCTTTCCTTTCCTAGGTCTGCAAAGTATTCAGTAACTAGTTTTCTGCAGTCACGCGTCAACTTTTGTTAAAACACCTTCAAGTACTCGGACTCTTCGCCTTTCGGTTCACTCTTTCCTTTCCTAGGTCTGCTAAGTACTCAGTAACTAGTGTTCTGCAGTCACGCGAAACCTTCTGTTAAACAATACTGTTCTGCCGACTCTTCCACCTTTCCGTTCGTTCACCTTCCTTCTCAACGTGGGAATTGAGTTAACTGCAAACCAGTGTCAGAGTGTGTTCTAAAGTGACCCAAAAAAAACAGGTGTGTTGTGTTCCAAAGTGATCTCGCTTTTTATTAACCCTTCCATGGTTTTGGGGTGTTTTGTGCTCCAAAGTGAACTAAACCCTGTGTTCCAAAGTGAACTAAAACTTGTGTTCCAAAGTGCCTCTCCCACCCTTCTGGGGGGTATTCTAAAGGATATGTTTTTAATAAGAGAATCCCATCGGAAGTGGGCCGTGGGCCGTACGACGTGGGAGTTCGTGGGGTTTCTTGGGTCCGGTCGACCTCGGAGGTCGAAAAACTCGACAAACGACCCACCCTGCGGATTTGTTGGGGGTATGGCAGTGTGGTCTTCGGGGGGTTGGTGGGAACCTCATAGATAGGACATGTTTTTGTTTCTTAGAAGACATCTGTTAAATGAGCAGCGAGTAATTGGCGCTTTAGTGGCAGAGTAGCGATGGGATTGAGTGAGATCAGTGTCCTGGTGTTTGGCTGGAAAGGCATCAACAATGTGCTTTTGCTCCAACAAAAGGATAATAAATATCTAAATGTCTGTCCAGTTTGCTGTCTCTTCATATTCCATTCTTACTTCGTGTGAGCAGTGTCTATAACAATATGCATTGGTCCCAAAAGAACAACTGCAAAACATGTTCCTAGCATCTCCAAGCCACAAATCTCTTGATTTTGTGATTGTTGACTTCATCATTTGTTTGGCGTTCTTTCATGACGTTTCGACAGAAGCGACAAAAGAACTGAAATGCCTTCGAGTTCTTTTGTGGTACTTGTAGGGGAGGATGAATCCGATCTACCAAGCGAGTTCCACTCGTAGTTTGAAGCCCCTTTTGTCACTGGGCTCAGATTTTTCCCGCTTTGCAGAAAGCGCTGCAGGGTGATCAAAGATAGATTTTGCAACACAGAAGTAAAGCAAACGCTACTAAGTGAGATGTTCTTTTGCAGAACACGTGGTAGACACCTGTCCAGTGAATAGCCTGGTAGTCCACCATCCATCAAAGACTCCCATGGTGAAAGGATCATGGATTTAGAAGTTCCCGATGAGTCCCCCCGATACTCGCCGAAGATGTGTTCTAAGCACCAACAAGTGGCCTGCCAGAAGCTTGGGGTGTCCAATCTGTTCACAGATTGCCCCAAACGAATTACGACTTTCATTTTAATCAAGGTCTAAAGACTAAAACAAACCAAAGATAAAACAAAGGTCATCAGAGAAGAAACACATTAAGAAGATCACGTCTTAAGGAAATCACATCGACACGGAGAATCAGCGCATTGCTTGGGTCACCTGAGTCATGTCGGATGGGTGTGCTGAAGCATGATACTAGTAGCCTGTTTCGGCGGGTGGGACATTCTTTTTCCTAGGCCTGGCCATGTTTGTCTTATATAGAGTTCAAAGAAGGGGAGTGTGGCATGAGAAGGAACAGATCTGCTAGCCAAGAAGTCCGATGCAGTGTATCACTTGGGGCCACTCCACTATGGTGTAGCTTCAAGTATATTTGTACTGGTTGGCCAATTTGACAAAGTACAATGAGGACGATTAGTTGTCCAATTGTTTTTTTGGGCTTGTTAGCTAGAGCAAGCAAGGACTTGTAGTTGCGCGTTGACGATGATGTTCACATCCCTGATTTGCCTTTTGGATGTCGACCTATAGCCTTACCAAGCAGGTGGTCGGACCCAGTGCTGGGGGCAGTGCCCACAGTACCCCTTGCCACGCCTGGCTGTAAGACCAAGAAAGTGCGGCTTTCCATGTCACTTGTGAGGTCGCATGCAAGCCATCATCCGTGAAAGAACTTGGCAAAGCCAGGGTTGGTGGACTCTGGCAAGTGTTTTGGTGCTTAGCTTCAGCAGTTCTGCGACCACTCAGAATGCAGCACTTGCAGCGGGAACACCGGTGCTTCTTCACGTGTTGGCTGCTTTGGTTGTGTTTCGCAGTAGGCCTTGTTGCCAGCTTTCGGCGCAAGCCGCTTCCTATTCCGTCCCCCCAAGGTGAGTAGTGAGTGGTTCGTCGAGCGGTGTTTGTAGGAGTTGACACGCCGTGGTGCTGCGTTGATGGATGCCTTCACCGCTGCAGCAGACGAGGCTGATGGATGCACCAGGGCTCCACCACCGGACTTGTGATGACTAGCTGACTAGCTTCCCGTGGTGACTGCAGCCTGGTGACAATCTTTTTGACTTATCTAGAGGCAGAAAGAGGCAGAGGTAAAATATGGCAGATACGGAAAACAAATTACATGTGGGTGGTGTCGCTCTTGTTCTAACAGGCCAACCACGTTAAAATAACACCTAATTTGGTCACCAAGTTGTGTTGCCGAAGATTCAAGCACTGCGGTGTGTTTGGAAAACGGACATGTTGTTGGCAACACCCAAAACCTCGCCAATGCACGTTTGGATTCAGAGGTTCAACATCGCCAAGAACCGCGATCTTGCTGAGAGAACGGCAAGACAAACACGGAACATGGTGAAATTGGTGGAATTTTTGGAATCACTGTTGGTTGATTATTCAGTTGCTGTTTACAGCACAGACGGTCACAAACCATTGGAAAACATTGGATACATGTCAGCAATAATCAATGTGTTTCTGCCGTGTTTTTCTTTGCACACTTGCATACATTTGCCAAACTCCATGATTTGTAGGCTCGGGTCAATGTACAAAGCTAGACTCAGGCACTGGGATGTTGCTTGAGGAAGGGCTGCATGCCACATCCATGATGGAAGGCTGTGCGTTGTGAACAGTTTAACCAAGGCTATGGTTTTAACTTGGTGATGAAACTTGCCACGGTAGACTTCCAGAACTCGTAGCTCGACCGAAAGTGCTATGTATTTCCTGTTTTTAATTCAGGCAATTGTTTCAATGATCTAGGACTTAGGACCATTGAATGGCAGCACTTGCACAGATTTTTGTGTTGTCTTTGCTGGTGCCAGAGGATGGCAGGACCTCCTTTCCACTCTCTTCCACGTCCAATTGTTGGGTTGAATGAGGCACAAGCTATCCATCAATATACCCGTAATAGACCCGAATTTGTTGCCCGACTCGTCAAAGCTTGAGGTATTTCCATCCGGTTGTACTTTCAAACTCATCTCGGCATGAACACTTTTTGGGGTTCTCCACAGCCTGAATGTATGTGGCAGTGCAGGATTCAAGGTCGAGAGGGTGCGGAAAGATGCGTGATGCGTGTGCGTCACACACGCTGACGCTCGGTCAATGGGGAGCTAATTGACCTGTTGTTGCACACAAGCTATATTAAGCTTTTCATAGTTGGTCCAGTACTTGAACCTGTTAGAATTTATCTCTTCAGTTGTGATTTTAAATTGAGAAAGGTGACACTCGCTGGTGTTTTTCCGGGATGGGTGGCTGGACTTTTCCCGTATCCAGCAACAAGGGCTTGTCGTCTAAACAACACCGTGGTGAATTCCAGGAGGACGGCATTTTCGCGAGAGAGTCATGTAACCCTGGAATCTGTATTTCCAACCCTGCAACATTCTCTTCTAACCCAGAGACACTTCCTTCTAATTCAGTCAGATACACACTCAAGTGTTTTGTTGGTGTGATTTGTAGCAAGTTGCAGTGATGGAGTTTGCTGTGCAGCTTCGACTCGTGTGTTTGTGCTCAAGGACTGTTACAGCATGTAACCGCCATGTTTTACATGAAAATAAACCTTGGTGCACCGTGTTTTTTGTTGTTCCGAGCAGGTGCAGTTCGTTGCAGGTTGCCTTCCAAAGGTGAAGTGCTGGTTGTTTTCACACAACACTCACAGCTCACTTGCACTCAATCTCACGCTCTCGCTATCATTCCTCGTCATGCCGCTCCCGCTGCCACAGATTCTTTTTTTAATAAACACAAAAACTTCACATATGGGGCTATCCGGTCAAATATTGTTTGTTGCCACGGATGACTCGATGCAGCAGTGTGAGTGCTTCATGTGAGTTCAAATTGTTCAAGGCTCATAGGCTGAGAATAGTGCAGTGTTGATGATGCACGTGAATCTATGTCCAATTCTGCGCCATATACATGCTTGTTGCTTTGGCACAGTCCTTTTTCTGTGGCCCTTCTATAGCTATGGCATCCGAGAATATGGACTGGCGAATCCAAGAGGCCCAGGGCGCGTTCCGTGGTCCCAAGTACCTCAGGGCAATGATTCCTTCACGTTTGGGTTTTTGTATGACCCCATTGTCCATGCTTTGGATGATCAGGTGGAACCACTGATGGATGGAGTCAGCTTCCATCAGTTTCTGATGACCAGCGTTCGGGGCGGGGGCCCCGGCCCTGGCACAGGACATCGAGGCTTTGAGTCGGCGCTTGGATGCCCTGGAGAGTTTCTGTTGCCCTGCCAACTTGGAGGACGACGAAACAATCGATTGCGTCGTGAGTCGTGTGTTTTTGTATGTTTTTGTTGTTTCATGAGGTTGTTGAAGATAGGTGGTGAAACTAAACTGAATTTGGTTATGGTTAGGGGTGTTATATGGTGTTATTATGTGTTATCACAAAATAACTTACTCTATGGCTGGGATCTTGTTTGGTTTGGGGGTTCAAACGGTTTGGGGGTTCAAGTCGGGGAGCGTAAAAGTGAAAAGTCCTTGAAAAGCCTTTATGTGCAACATCGAGATCCAGCCTGCATCTTACCCCCGATGGCCAAGATGGGGTTCATGTCAGTAAAACATGGTGCCATAAGTTGTGTGTTCACAGGCGCAGATCCACTCAATTCTGAAGGAAGCAGCTTCGCTGCACTTGGCTTGATGTGGCTGTGAATCAACCAAGTTCACTCCTGAACATACATGCTGGAGCCAGTTGTTTCGGCATGTCTGCAAGGGAGTCCAGGTTTGGACCCACACAGCCATGTGGTCCTGATCAGGAATACAGACTACGCACACCATTTGAAGACTCACCCATGCCTAAATGTGGGTCGACGAAGGCAGCAACCTTTTTGGGTTTGGATGGTCTATGCTTCAAATCAGGTTGCTTGCTGTCAGGATTCCGAGAAGCATCGTCGAATCTTCGACTGGTGTTTGGGTGTAAGCAGATTGTGTTGTTTTTGTTTTTCAACCGACTAGTAGCTTCTTGTTCCTAGCAGTAAGGTCAGGAGCTACTAGTGGCTTCTTGCTCCTAGAAGCGATGCCCTTTGTTACCAGTAGCTTCTTGTTCCTGGTAGTAAGGCACCACTGATTTTTGCTGTTCTTTCCCATATTGTCATCTGCACACCTGACCACCTGGACATGTCACTGCTCAACCGTAGTCGTCAGCCCGGGAGTGCTGGTACTGTATCATCTAGCAGGCACTGCACTGTCATGTAAAGCCCTCTTCAGGTGTTGAGCGATGGAGGAAGTTTAGAGCAGACACGGGATTGCTCAGGCACGGCCGGTGTATTTTTGTCGTAAAACAGATGCCCTGGCTCAAATTGAAATACTCAGAATACCCAACTCAAGGATTAATCGCTGGGAATCATTGTGTTTTTTTTCGGGTGCATTCAAAAAATCAGCTTTTCAGGCTTGCGTGCCAAAGCTGCCGTTGACCAGCTTTGGGCAGTCCACTCTGCAGATGCCTGCCAGCTCAGAGACAAGAAGGTGGATCGAAATCCTATAGTAGTGTTCTTGCTCCTAGTAGCGATGCCAGGAGCCCCTAACCCTAATAGCTTCTTGTTCCTATTTGTTGATACTGACATAAAACATCATGAAATCAAGATAGCTTGGCAGCGGACACAGCTGCAAAAAAAAAGAAGGCTGGAGCCTCTCTGCTGATTTGCCGGTGGAGTTGTGTCCTGGACTGCGGCTGCTTGCCCAGCCAACCAACTAACCAGTAGTATATGGCTGGAAATCAGAGAGAGGCAGACGCTAAGCCACTGAGCTAGCCACTGCTAAGATGGAAAAGCTTCAAGAGCAGATTGCTGATATGCGGGCGCGCTTTGCTGCTGCCTGAGCCTGTTTACACTTGGACAACGGCTTGGCTTTCTTTGTCTGAAGAGGTTATCAAATAGACAGCCAGGAACGAGCTTTCCAAATAGCGAAGAGTGGATCGTGCACAACAACTTCTGGTAAGCTGTTTGCAGTGCCACATATGTTCGATTCGGGCAACTTGTTTGACACTTACATTGAGAAACTCTTCAGTTGGCCGCATGCAACTCAGGGAGAAGATGCAACCCATGCTGATGACACTGACTCTGTGTCCCCCTTGGCATGAAGGAGCTGCCAAAGCAGCATCAAAATGACAAGCCAAGCAATTTTGCCAGATTGGACTGGATTGAGTCAGATGTTGTCGTCATTTGGCAAAACCGATTCTGGTGAGTGTCAAGTGCCGACAGTTTCCAAGCTTTCTAGTGAGAAATGTGTGAGTTGGAGATTCCGTTAACTATGTTCTGACACCTGTATTGGCTTCTTATTATATATTTGAAAGGAAGCTCTCAACAGGGGCGACAGGTACAGTTACTTTGTTTCGGTGGTGAACTAATTTCGCCGCTCCAGCTTCCCATCATCCGAACCGCGCCAAAGCCTGAGGCGGCTCCGTTGCGGGAGCTCAATCAACGTTTGGATGATGCCAAGCTCGAGCTCCAATGCGAGGCGGAGCTGCAAACATCCCTATCGACTTGCTGAATCCCTATTGATGTCTCCAGACAGTACTGCTTGCTTGTACAGAACCTCACGAATGCAAGGCAAGGCAAAGATTTACCAATGTCCAGGCCTCAACAGGTTTGGTCTTTGAAATCCCTCGGGGGCTGGACATTGCCATTGTTTCTTGACCCATTTCTGGCAGTTTTGCCGTTGCTCGCACGAACCGCAGGCTGCGATATCTTTTGCTGAGTTCAGGCACGTATGGAGGAACCCACCGAGGTTTGTGGGTCCAGACCAGGTAGCAATAAGGGAAGAGGGTGGTAAGGTTAAGGGTTGGTGGCCAGGGTTGGCCATCAGTGTGTCTTGCACGGGGGCATTTGTAGTGTGACACTTGTGCTACCTGCACTGTCAATTTCTTAATTGCTGTAGCTCGTGTCCCAAATACTGTAAGCCCAACAGCGATCAACACCTCCTGATTGGAGCAATGGGGAAGAAGTTGGCAAAGGGAGGCGGAGGCAAGATTCCACCGTGCCCGGTCTCGACCATGCAGCGGGTCAAGTGGCGGTGGAATTTTAAGAATTTTTAGAATCTGGGCTGGACAGCGCAGCATGGCTTTGCTTAAGGTGATGTTTACTTTCCCTATGGGATCCTATGGGTAAGTTAGAGAAGATTTTTTACTTTTCCCGCTCCCTAAGCAGATCCAAGGATGAGCGCGGTGAGTGGCAGGGGACAGTCATCGAGATCAATTGAGCAAGGGTCAAAACCCACCTAGTTGTGACATGAAAGAGCATAAAGCTTTCTCGCATAAGCCAACGACAGAGTCGCGTAAGCTGGCGTAAGCAGATTTTTCAGAACACATGTTGAGTAAGCAAAGTCGAAAAAGTTGAGCACCATGTTGGGAATGCTGAGTTGCAGTCAGTTGCATTTATTTC